GATAAAATTCTTAGAAAACGTTGAGTTTCATCCTCTCCCTCCCCCCGCATTAGGTTTGTTTACATAAGGTTTCGTCCTCCCATTGCATTATGTTAGTTTACGTTGGGTTTCGTCGTTCCCCCTCCCATTACATAGTTTAGTTTACGTTGGATTTAATCCCCCCCGTACACTTCCTCCAACACAAGGAAGGTGAGTGGGTGAGGCGGGGGGGGAACCAGCTCTCTCCAAATTACCCTACTAATATGTTTTACGAGTACAATTTTAATACAAAATTCATCAAACCTAAAAAAATATATCATATAAAAAATAAATAAAAAATATAAAAGGGTGTACGTATTTTAATATACATAAAAAACACCAATATTAGGTTGGGTTTAGATAACAATAGGTACATATAAATGAACTAATTATAGATTTTATTTTCTTATTTTATAAACGACGTAAGTCATATTTTCAAGAATGAGTTATCAAATATAAATAATTTTTGTGAATAATTTCTATCCAAAATCATTCGTAATCATTCTTTTTATTTAATTGCATTAAATAACTCATTTTATGAATTTTCCCTTGAACTATTTAAAAACGATTTATCAATTATAATTTAAAAGGTTTTTATTCATTTCAGAAAATTATATCATAATACGTTGTTTCTCAAATAAGTAGTACAAATTTAATAAATTTATTAAAAATTTTAGTAATCATAGTTTTTTTTTATACGATCAATTGTAAGAAGCATGACAAACAATTTTAATACCCAAGCTACGTTCTTCTTTTATTCCTTAGCCCTATTAATACTTTTTTTTATTATACGTAAAAATTCACCTTTAACACCCACTACAATTTATAGGCTTGTGAATTCTTTTATAAAGCATATGAATCTCTAATTTGTCATTTACTTTTGGACTTAGTATATCAGAATGTTTGAATCCGGGGTTGTATAAAACTGACCATAAGTCTTCACGTGCTGTCGCAAATTACTAATTTTTTGAGAACTAGCATAATGTGTAGTTTATTGTGTGAGTAATTTATTATAATAACAAAACAGAACATATGAAGATTTTCATATAGTCACTGACCTACTAAAACTAAAACTAACTAAAAGGTGTCTCAGTACTAAGCTTGTTTTAAAGCGATTCCTGACAAAAGTGAAATGGAGAATAGAATGTAAAGTTATTTATACTAATTACTATTTATTTTCATACATCTAAATATCGTGTAAAATCTATATATTTATGTATATTTAACATTATTTTAGTTTTTAGCTTCGATGCGAAGCTGAGAAGTTATTGGTTTTACTAAGATGTGTTTATTTTATTTTTTTTTTTTTTGTGTCTGTTACCACTTTTTCTCAGCTCTCACCGAACCGATTTCTTTCAACGATACGTTAAAAGATCACAAATCGTATCTAATCGAAGACATTACCCTTAAAAATTGAAAAAAATCCCCTCGTTCCCCGTAAATGGGGGAAACCTGCAAAAAAATTACAAATTTAAAAATCGCTTTTTTCAATTTTTTTTACTTAAAATTGCTATAACTTTTTTAAAAATAACCGAATCAATATAATTTTTTTTTATATAGATGCATGATATCATTACCTTACATTTGGTATATTTTTTTTTTATATCTGACGACCCTTTACTTGCCCACAGGAGAGGATTTAAATTGACAACTTTTTCACAAAAAATTAATTTTTAAATTTTTTTAACTTGATTTTTAAAAATGTTCTGGATGGTCTGACACTTTTATATATATCTTAAATTAAAGTTAATGTAATATACTTTATCATGAAAAAAAAAATTTTCGGACTTTATTTTATCTTCACGGTGAAAATGGCTACCGAATGCTATTATTGTGTGAAAATTCTCGATTTTATTTTTTACATTTTTAACTTTATAATGCTATGACATATTGAAAAGTGTATGGATCAACATTATTTTTTTATGAGAAATAATATTTTTTAATAATCCCTTTTTCATTCGACATACTTTATCTTAATTAGGATATTAATAATGAACTAGCAGATCATGTAGCTTTTGGAATAATCCACCAATTTTTTAAAATTAAACACTATCTAAAGATTTGCATCGAAGCGTTTTTTTTTTATAGTGATTTTAATCACTGTCAGATATCATTATACTTGATCCATCTATGCCACGTCATCACTGTGCCACGACCCCCCTGTGCTGGGTTTTTTTAAAATTATTTTCTTTTAATATCGAAAATGCTTTTGTTTTTTATTAATAATTTAGTTTATGCGAGTTTGTAAGACATGTTTCACGAACTGATATAATACAAAGCCAATATAATAATATGAAATAAAATTGATTATAATTTAGTTGTGGAATATATAATTTCAATTCTCATAAATTTACGATTAAACGTTCAGATTTGAATATTACTCCTATAATTATCGGATTTACATGATTATATTACGCACTTAAATACTTATTAAATAAATAAAACAAATAATTAGATTTGGATGTATAATTTATTATGATAGTTATCTGTATAATACGTTAATTTTATTTTGGTCTTCATTATGTCTACATACCAATTTATATTTAATTTGATTTTTTCGAGAATCAAGTGTATTTTTATAATGATGTAATTTATGACAATTTTTAGTAATGCAACTAGAAATTTTGTGTTTGAGAAAAAGAATTTTTTTTTTCAAAAAACGACACTTAGAATAATTATGTTGACCAAAAACAAAAGAGTAAAATGTTAAAAAATGAAATGCTAGAGAAAAATAAAGATTTCAAAAATACAGTCTATTTATCAAATAAGTTAGTAATTAGTATGTAAAAGATATCTTCTTCTTCTTCCTCGCCTTAATCCCAACTACTTGGGGTCGACCACCCTTATCCAAAATTTCCACTTGACACGATCTCACACATCATCTATGCTCACACCAGCTGTTTTCATATCGCATTCAATAACTTCTCTCCATCTCTTTTTTGGTCTTCCTCTACCTCTTCTTCTTTCAACATTCTATTCTATAACTGTTCTTACAGCTTCCGATTCTTCTTTCCTCATAACATGACCAAACCATCTAAGCCTATTTTCTTTCATCTTATCCATGATTGACGTTACACCCATACTCCCTCTTATATGCTCGTTCCTTATCCTATCTTCTCTAGTCACTCCATTCATCCAACTAAGCATTCTCATCTTTGCTACACTTATTCTCTGCTTTATTTTCTTATCAACCGCCCAACACTCTGAACCATACATCATAGCTGACCTCATTACAGTCTTGTAGAATTAACTTTCAGCCTCATCATAATTTTTTTATCGCATAAGACACCAGATGCTTCTCTCCACTTCAACCATCCGCACTTAATTTTGTGTCTTATATCCTCGTCAATACCACCACTCTTTTGCACAACTGACCCTAAATACTTTAAGTATATCNTGCACAACTGACCCTAAATACTTAAAACTCTTCACCTCTCCAATCACGTCCTCGCCTATTGTCACTGACCTCCTCATTTCACCTACCTCGTGTTCTCCTTTGTAAAACTCGTACTCTATATACTTTGTCTTACTTCTACTTATTCTTAAACCCTTTTCTTCAAGAGCTGATCTCCACACCTCTAGCTTTTGATTAATTTCCTCCCTATTTTCTCCTATTAACACTATATCATCATCAAACAACATGCACCACGGCACCTCTCCTTGTATTTCTCTAGTAATTTCATCCATCACTATAGAGAATAAGTAATGGCTTAAAGCAAAACCTTGATGCACTACTACTCTTACCCGAAAACCCTCTGTTACTCCTCTTACACATTTTACCCTGGTACAAGTTCCATTATACACATCCTCTATTTTATTATTACACCTTTTCGGGACTCTTTTTCTCATTAATAACCACTTTAAAACCTCTCTCGGTACTCCACCTTACGCATTCTCCAAATCTATAAATACCATACACATCTTTTTCTTCTTTTCCCTAAACTTTTCTATTAGTTGCCTCTCGCAAAATACTAGTTCCATTGTTGACTAACCAGGCATAAATACAAACTGGTTTTTAGATACCGATGTCTCATTTCTTATTTTCTTATCTATTACTTTTTCCCAAATTTTCATACTACGATTTATAAGCTTTATGCCTTCATACACTCCTGTATGTTTCCTTTACCTTTAAATATCGGCACTACAATACTATTCATCCATTCATTTTGTATTTTCCCTTCTAATAAGATTATATTTAAAAGTTCTGTCATCCACCTTATGCCAACACCGCCTTACATTATCCATACTTCTACTGGCACTTCATCTAGTCCTACTGCTTTATTCTTTTTCATAGATGCCACAGCTTCCCATACCTCTTTCTCACTAATTAAATCTACCAGTCCTTCATTCCACGAGATATCCCCTAATATCTCTTTTGGGTACTCCTCATTCAGTAATTTTTCAAAAAACTATTTCCACCTTTTTTTCACATCATGATTACTCGAGAGTACCTTATTATTAACATTTTTTATACACCTTATATAATGATAATCTTTAGACCTTTTCTCACTTACTTTTGCAAATCTATAGATTTTTTTCTCGCCTTCTTTTGTTCCTAGCCTATCATACAACTCATCATACCTCTTAAACTTCGCCTTATTACTGCACACTTGGCTTCTTTGCACAAGCGTTTATACTCCATCCAATCTTCTATTCTTTTGCTTTTCTGACATACTTTGAATTGATTTTTATTACTTTCTATGATTTTTTGAACGTCCTCATCCCACCACCAGGTTTCCTTGTTTCTTGGCATTCTACTCCTACTCTCATNCTCATCCCACCACCAGGTTTCCTTGTTTCTTGGCATTCTACTCCTACTTTCATCAACTATCTCCTTTCAAGTATTCTTTACACAACTAGCAAATCTATTCCACACATCATTTATGCCTCCCTCAACATTCCATACCGTCCTCTCTTTTACCGTTTTTACAAACTTTTTTTCATTTTCCCCTTTCAAATTCCACCACCGGATCTTCAATTTTTCCCCTGTATTTCTTCTATTTTTGTTTATTCTCTTTCCGGTACACCACAACTCCATTACCATCAGTCTATGTTGTGTAGTTACACTCTCGCCTGGTATAACTTTACAATCTTTTACTCGCTTTACGCTCTCTCTCTTCCACATAAAATAATTGATCTGTGATCTATTCCTTCCACTCTTTTATGTTATATAATGTTCTTCCCTTTTTCTAAAATAAGTATTAACCACAGCAAGATCATAAGATACTGCGAAATCCAGTATTGTTTCTCCAGCCTCATTCTTCCCACTAAAACCACGCCTTCCATGTATTCTTTCATATCCTCTTCTCTCATTACCTACATGTCCATTCATATCTCCACCTATCACCGCAACATTGCCAGGTACTCCTTACATCACTTCATCCATCTTTCTCCAAAACACTTCCTTGTCTATATCATAACATCCTACTTGTGGTGCATAGGCATTTAGTACATTTAACACTTTTTCTTCGAATATCAATTTTACGACCATAATTCTATCACTTTTTCTAGCTACTTCTAAGTATAATAGTCACCTATTTCCCTCGATTTCTCTCCTTTCCACTTAAATTCCTACACACAACAAATGTTAACTTTTCTCCTCTTCTATACTTCTACCAGTTAATGTTCCAACATTCCAAGTACCTATTTTTACTTTGTATCTATCTTTCTCCCTTATACACGAGTCCGAATTAGAGTTAAGTGGTGATGTCCCTACATCTTTGACACTNACACGAGTCCGAATTAGAGTTAAGTGGTGATGTCCCTACATCTTTGCCACTACAAGTGTTGGGTAGACCTGTACACATGATTAATGAAACAGCTACCGCACAAGTTGTCCGGCTGGTATCAAATACTTTGTTTCTTAGGCCTTCTCCGTTTTTAACTACTTTATTCCCTCTCACTTTTGTCCCCGCTTACATCCGAGATGAGACAATTCGCCTACGTTTTGTTCAGGACACTTCATACAATTACCTACCCCCTATCTACAGGGAATAGTATGTAGAAGATATAGTAAGTTAAATTTGTATATTATATATTATTATATTGATATGCGCAACGAATAAGGCAGTGACTCATTTTTTCTCACTTTTGTGAATATAAAAAATAAAAATTGCTCTCTGATTATAGACTATATATTTAACAAATTTCTTAGTAGTTTAATTCTGATCCAATTGAAATTATCGATTGTTTGATAAAAGTTATTATAAGAGTAAAAACCAAGTTCAGATATCTCGTAATCTCAAAATGGTTTTTTATTATTTACTGTCTCATTCGTTGCGCTTAGCGATATGTTAGTATTAAACTGGAAATAATTCTAATTTAAAATTTCCAAGCAGGCTATAAAAATATTAATTAATGTCTTTGGTTGTTATCAAGATATTGATAAGACACTTTTTCTTCCATCATATTATGCGTTGCGCAGTGTAATAGAAACGTGCCGGGTTGCCGTACACTCAACACGCAGTTCGTGTTGTTTTTGAGTTCCCAAAGTCACATGGTTTTTTTTTTGAAGAAAATAATTTAATATATTGTATATTTTTTATAAACACTTTTCAGCTTAATTAAACATAAATTAACTTAACTAAAATATCGTTTTTGTTTGTTTATATAGATGGTATGGTTTTTTTTTAATATTGGTACTCTATATTATCATTTGTGTATCATCGAATAACTTCGATAAACTACTTCTATTAAAAATACAATAATTTTTGTTAATTGCCAAAGGATCTTCTTAGTTTGCAATCACGAATCATTTTTTATCATTGTGTAACGTAGATATGTCGAAGGTCATTTCTTGAAATTTGCTGATCAAATTGATTTGTAAATTTCTACTATGAGTAAATCGGCCACATCAACAGTTGATATGTCTTCTAAAAACCCGTGTAACAAAGAAAACATACGTTCTAAAAAACCAACTTCAGAAGATATCTGTTCAAACAAATCATCTCATCCTCAATCCCCTATAATAAATGATGATAAACCATTAGAACTTGATAAACGTGAAGAGAGCTGTGAAAATGAATATATTGCTGATAAAAAGAAATTTGTTGAAGCACCATTACCAAAAACTAATCCATGGACTGCAAATATAAATGCTGCTAGTATAATTCATTCCAAAAATATCAAAGAAAAAGATCCAATTGTTGGTGAAAAAAGAGTTTTACTTCCGCAGCAACAAGTTCTATGTAAGATATATTGATTATTATTTTAAATCCCATATAGTTTAGTTATAGTTTATTAGATTATAATTTTAACTATAATAACAATTTATAATTTTGCTTTCAACTAAATACTTTAATTAGTTGAAATAATTTCTATACCTTTTTCTTAGACAAAACTGTCGCTACCTTTATTAAACTAAAACATATTTAGTTTATATTAAAAGTTATAGCATTGGTTAATTACAGTTATATGGTATAGAATCTCATAATCTATAAAGTTTAAAAGCTTTCAAATATTAAAATATTTTACCTTAAAAATCGATAAAACTTTTTACTTTTAGCTTTTTTTAATTTTTGATAAATATAATAGTCATATGTCAATTAAATTTCTTTATGAATAGGCCTAAAATGCATTTTGAAATTATTAAAGTTGTTATTTTATTTAAGTTATCTTCATATTTTAAATAATCCCTAAATGTTAACAATAACTTTTAAAATTGATGGATTTTTAGATATTTCTATTCAATGTAACTGTAAATAACTAATGATAAACTAAAATTATTTTAGTTTAATAAAGGTGGCAACAGTTTTGTCTAAGAAAAATGTATAGTAATTATTAATAATTATTATAATATAATATTCATTATAATAATAGTATTCTTAAATTAGTCTGTAAATTTGGTGTTTTGAGGAACTTAGAGTTTAAAATAACTATCTAGTATGTGTAAATATATTTTTTTTTAATTTGGCCTAACTTCTCTGATTTACAATGATCATTTTGGAAGAAAGGCATTTGGAGTAAATGAGGAAAATATATATTTTAATTTGTAATTAATTTAATTTCATGATACCCATTTACATTAATATTATTTTGAAAGAGTCAGTATTTCAATATTAAACTAGAACTGAAGGTCATAAGCAAGCTAGTTTTCCAATTTTTTTATTTACTATAATTATTAGTTATATTAAATATCAGGTTTACTTTACTCCAATTAAAATTAAAAAAAACTGTTAATACTTTTGTATTTATCTTAAAATTTTATTTAAAATCCTATATTTATTTATAATGTGATTAAATTTATCACAATCCTATACTTACTATGTATACAAATAATTGTGATTTTTTTTACTATTTTTAGTTACTGATTATCTTGTATTATTAGCTATTTTATAATTTTTAAGTTCATCCCTTATGCTTTGTTAGGATGTCAATTTTATTTTTTTCTAATGGCGACATATTTTGAATTTAATTATATATTTGCAGTTTTATTTTAATAATGAATGACATTTGATATTGACATGTTTTTAACATAACTTCATTAATTTGATAGAAAAATTCTTTATAATTTTGAATTTTTTAATTAAAGTAAGTGTAAAATATATGATGAATTACAAATTAGTTTGGTAATTGCTTTTTTTACTCTTAGCTATCCATAGACATGTAGTGTTTATTGTCAATTATGATATTATAAACAAATATACTTAAAATATAGTATTATATAAGACACAATGTTGTGAGCTAACATGTTTTAATATATCAATTGGCAACACAGGGAGCATATCTGTATTTTACAGCTGTTAACACCCTAACAAGACATAAGGAATGAACTTAAAATATAACATAAATAAAAATTCAAGAAAAATATGTAACTAAAGGTTACCAAAAAAAAATTAAAAATTTTACTCTGCAAGTTTGAGAAATTTATAATAAAAAAACATTCTTATATTTTAAATTAATTTATTTATCCTTATTACTTTATTTTATCATTGTAATTAAATAACTTTATAATTAATTTTTTGGTCTAGTAGAAAAAAATTGATGACTATTTTTGTCAAGGTAGATAAAATGAGTATTTAAAAAATTTTTTTTCAATTGAATGATAGTTACAAACAATTTTTAATCCTATAATGACAACTTTAATGTTTGGAAAATACTTTTGTTATTTATGATAACTGTTTGCAAAATTAAACATGAACATAGCAATAGTGGATAGCTCACTTTGCTATATAATATATTTGCTATATAAAATGTAAGGTTTCGCTAACACTGCTCTGAATTAAAAATTCACATGAGTTGAGTTTGATAGTAGCCTTTCTACATAATTTCAATTACCTAATTAGTAGTGAATTTAAAATAGTATTATTTCTTCAATCTGTACTATATTATAAGTTAAAAATAATGATAACATTTTGAAAGTTTTTGTAAGTAACACTTAATTTTTTTTATTAAATATTGTTTATTATTATTTATGATAATGTTTACAACATTAAATAGATATTTAATATGATTTTTTTTTTTATGAAACTAAGCAAATTTTTATTAAGCTATTAATAATATAATCTAAAATTGTTATTTTTTTAGTTTAATAGAACTAGTTAATTACTCAAATGTAAATTTAATAATATTCAATGGTCCCACTGCTGATAAATAGATTTTTATTAAATAATTATTTGACAGATTAGTACAATAGCATAATTATTATTAACATCTAATATAAATAATACTCAAAAGTGTCTACTTAAAATTATGTATGTATATTTGTACAATCAACTAAAATAAATTGTATAATATTAAAAAAAAAAAATCATTACAATTAGTAATGATATTACTAATTGTAATGAATTATAATAAAGAATTAAAAATTTGTAATTTGCAATTATATTAATGAAAATAATAAAAATAAAATAATTAATTAATTAACTTTAGCATACTCAATTTTTATAATATTTTTACTTAATAATTGAAAACTATCAAAGTTCTTTAAATAGTTAAAATTTTATAATAGTGTAATTATTTCATCATACACATCTTAAATTATTAAAGATTTAAAAGACAATAAATGTTGTTTTTTATAATAATTCAGAAAACCCTTAATTAATAAATAAAATATTTTTTTATTAACTTAATAATTATGTATATTTTAGGTGACTCCTCTAGTAGCAAAACATTGAATAATAATAATAAATTTTCAAAGTCAAAAAAAGTAAGTAACAAATTTTTTATAATTGAATTTGAGATGTTAAAATTTGAACTATTGGGAATCTATTTGCAAAATTCTATTATATTTGCAGCAAGAATGTTTTTTTTTGTTGTTAATTGATTTTTGCTAAATAAAATGAATGGTTTCGCTAACACTACTCTGGGCCCTATAACCCTCTTGAGTTGAGTTTGATAGTAGCCTTTCAACATACTCATATAAATATTTTATCTTAATAGTAATACAAAATTATATAAGAAGTTATTTTCAAATAGTACAAGTTCTTAACTACAAAGTAATAAATCTTGGGTAAGATGGTCATGTTCTCTGAAAATTTTTTATGTTTGTAAATATATAAATTATTTGACTTAAAAAACTTTACAGTATTATAATATTAAATGATCTTTTTTCATCCTTTCTAGGATAAATATCTTAATTTTCATTTTTTAGTAAGAATTCCTATTTTTAACTTTATAGATAAATTATAGATAAAAAAAATAATTACAAAAAATATTTTTCTTATAATTTTTTTTTTTTATCAACTATTCTTCTGTAACAGTATGTTAAAGTTTAATAATCAAAAATCAATTTTCTAATGATATTTCTTTGTTAAGATACCAAAAGTCCTCATTTTACCATTTTGTTATACATTTTATTGATATAATTCTCTAATATAACGAAATCTTAACCTTAATAATTATATTAATAGTTAAATACTCTTATATTTAACTCAAATTTACTGTAGTACTTTGTCAGTAACCAAAGGGTAAACATTTGGTTGAAAACTATTACAAAAAAATGTATGGCCTATTGATGCCACTGGTATGGAGAAAACAAATTGATGATGCATTATTACTTAAAATCCAAATTTATAAACTATTTTAAAAATCAGCTGATTGGATAAAAAGATTTCTAAAAATAAAATTTTCAATGAGTTTTTGAATCAAATATTTTTTTTTTTTTTAAGTTTCTAAAAAAATGAATGTTTTATCCGAAATTGATCACTTTGTATAATTATTTTTTTATTATAATATTTTTGTTGTTCTATAAAATTTATAATTAACTTATTACATTTTTATTAATTTAACAGTTAATATACTGTCAGTAAACAAATGAAAATTGTTTGTTTTTTTTAACTATTTAAAAATACATTTGATGTACGTATAGATCAAAGTTACAAATTATTGATTATGAGGTATTTAATTTAAAATTCCACTACTTTCATTAATCTAATTGAATGAGTTATTATTTTATTTTATAGTAGTTTTGTATTTATCTCATTTTTTATCTACATTACTTTGATCCCTTCAGCTCTGGTGCTGTCTCCTCATAAATAAATATAATTGATTTATTAAAACTGAAAATAAAATGAACATATACTTTTTAAGTTTTTTCTTTCCATTTCACCAAGTTCATTACTGATAAATATCACTGAAGCCTTCTAAATATAAACCAATTTTTTTTTAATCTGTAGATTAATTGATAAAAATTAAACATAATAATATTAGTTTATTTAAAAATTAACCATAAAGCATTTAAACCTAAGGTATTTTTGTTGCTGGTGTTAAAAGTTAATTACATTTTTCAAATTTTTAGAATAAAGAATTAAATAGTGTTGAAGCATGGCCATCCTTGGGTAATGGGCAGAATTATGATGTAAGTCAACCTTATATTTTAAATATCCTTTTCTATTTTGTGCTAAAAATTAATTACTTTAAAGTTGTATTTACAAATTATTTCAATTTGATAATTTAATAATTAATTTTTAAAAAAATTTTCTTTGACTAACAGTATTTTAATAATATGTTATCAGTATTGTATTTTAATGTATATATTTTTTAAAAGAGTGAAAAAATTATTAAAATAGTAACATTTAACCTTAAAAGTTGTATTTACATAATAAAAGCTATAAAAAAAAAAAAACAATTCTTTTATTTTTTAATAAAATTAATATATTTTTATTAAATAATAATTTAATTATCTTTGTATTTTTAGAAAATAGTAAAAGTATTTTCATGAAATCTTATTTTGATGTACAAACCAAAATAATATCAAATTTGCAATTTTTTTTTTATCATTTTAAACTATTGAATTACAATTGTTTTATTAATAATCTGATTTTAATAAAAAGAATAAGAAATTTTTCTATTTTCAAATTTCTATACAATACTATATAGTTATCTTCAATTTGTTTTCAACAAATTGACTACATTATTGAATAATTATTCTATTAATTTATGTGAATACTTAAAAAATAATTGAAGTGCAGATAAGATAATTTCCATATTATATAATTATATGCATAGTACTATAATCTCCTTCCTATTCAATGTATATACTCTGAACATTTGAAGCTCATAAATTTCAAAGTTGCTCAGATGTTTTTTTTATGAAACGATTATTTCTAAAAAAATTTTATTCAATAATATTGTAACTTAAAACAAGATGAGTAGTAATCTATTGTTTGTTCATCATAATTTTAAAAATGTGCAAAATCATTTAAAAATATATCAATCATTTTTCATATCTGACTGAATCATTTTACATATTATATATATATTTATTAACTCATTTGTTTAACCATTTATAAATATTACAGAGGAAAAATATTGCTCAGAATGATATGCCTTTAAATAATGCCCAAACAAATTTACCAAAAGTAACTAACTCTATATGTGCAAAAGATTCACAAACATCAACTAGAGAAAATACACCTGGTATAAAATCATGTTCAAAATCAAGTAGTTACAAGAAAAGTGAAAACAATAACTATTCTCAAACTAATAATGATTTAGAAAATGGAACGAATTCTGGTCATTCATCATCCAATGAGTCTAACAATGTAGATAAAAAGAAAAAAGGTAAATATTATTTATGAATTATATAGTTTAGTACATTAAACTAAAATAAAAGAAAAGTAATGCAATAGAAACATTTAGAAATATGTTGGATCCACCATTTTTACTTTATGAGAATCTTGATTTCTGGATTAATCCTTTTTAATTCATATAAATTTTATATACTTCATACAACTTACATAAATAAAAGTTAATCTTTTAACTAGTTAATCCTTCTGGGTATATTATTGAGTGAAATTATTATTTTTTAATTTAAGGAAAAAAACACAGAACATATTTCTAGAAAGGACATTGTACCAAAAACATATATTGTATTATTTATATAATAAATAATTATAGAATATAAATTGAAATAAGATATTAAGTTAAAAATGTATTATTTTTCTGTCAATATTTTATTTGAATAAAAATCTTCAACTAAATATATTTAAAATAATTATTTTAACAAGAACAAAGTAAGATTATTAGGANATAATTATTTTAACAAGAACAAAGTAAGATTATTAGGATTATTTTAAATAAAGGGAACAAAATAATTATCCATTTTCTTAGCTTTTTATTATGTCTTTAAGTTCTTTACTAAGATAATATATTACTAATGTATATTGTACATTAACAAACAGATACAATAACATGTTTGTGTTAATGTTACAACTTAAGTATATAAGTCTCTTAATTAGTTAATAATTAAAATACATTTAGTTTTATTAATGATTCATAAATTCATTTTTGAAATTACAATTATGTCCAAGTATTGTTTTCTAATAATTCGTACTGATATAATGAAAAATAGTAAGAAAGTGATATTCTTCAAAACTTTTTTAAATTATTTATCTACCAATTACTGAACAAATTTCACAAATGTCATTGACTATTAGGCTTTCTTTAAAATGTATTGTTTGTTTAAATTAGGAAACTTTAGATGCTAACATAATTTTTAAATTACAAATATAATAGTTAATATTATAATTGTTGATTTTATATTAGTCAAACATTCTAAATGGACTCCATTAGATATTGAAATTTCTAAAGAAAATAGTTATAGAAGCCGACTATCAAAATATCGAAGAGATAGAACTGGTAATTGAAAATTAATTGTTAATTTTTTTTATTGTTTTGATTACATATAATTTTTTAGGTGGATATGAAAAAAGTAATAGTCAAAATAAAATTAAAAATAGTCGTAAAACACCTGAAATGTCAGATAGTGCAATATCTGATTCAGATAAGCGAGATGGAGGTCCCATGCGTTATCTTAGACATCAACGGTCTCGAAATAGACATCAAGATGATGAATCTAAAGTATCTTTCCCAAAAGTGTTATCTGATAGAAAAATTGTAAGAACTCTATTGTATTATAATGTTCATACAATAAATATATATATTATTAAATAAATTTATAGGCCAGCTACAACTATAAAGGAAGTGATATGTTGTATTCAGCTCCATCTCGAATGAATTATAATCAACCTTACTGCGAGCTAGTCCCATTTGTGACTTATCCAGTGATGAATGAACAAACTGTGATTAATCTCCTTAAGCAACAAATGTATGTAATTTATTTTTATAGAATTAATGTATTGATATATTAATAATTTTTTTTATTATTCTAGATCTTATTACTTTTCCACTGACAATTTGTGTAAAGATACATTCTTTAGGTTTCACATGGATGATGATGGTTTTGTTCCTGTAACTTTTATTGCTTCTTTTAAAAGAGTTAGGGAACTAAGTCAAGATATAAGTCTTGTAATGAAGGCTATGATTGATATGGATGAACTAGAAATAAATGGACATATGGTAATATATTTATTTAGGGAAAACTACTTTTGCTTTATATGCTTTCTTAATTGATTTCTGAACCTCATCATGAGAATAAATTATTTTATCAATGTATATTTTAGGTGAGATGTCGGAATGATCCAACAAAATGGCCTTTAAAGGAAATTCCTCAACAATTTTTATTTAAAAATAACTTACAACATCCATTATTCACTCATCCAATGGGACCTCCTTCTATTGTTCCACTTATATCACCAGATTTATTAGTTAAGAATTTGCCAGCTCCACCCCCTCCACCTAGCATTCATGTTGTCACAGATCCTCTTGCTATGAATTTAAACCCAGATGTTCCAGAATTTATTCCAAGAAGTGGTCCTAATGAATCTAAGACTGATGAAAACTGTGATACAAATGACTGTGAACTTGTTAATGAAAAAGATGCACTTATTGATAGTACTTTAAATCTTAAATCTGTTGATAAAGATGTTGAAACATCTGATGCAACTAAAAATGTTACAAAAAACACAGATGTTAATTTAAGTAAGTTTTAATGAGAAAATATTTTAATTTGTCAAATTATTTTTAATTTTAATATATTTTAACTAGAGCTGAGCAATTTTTTGATCAATGTGAATTATGAATTCTTAAATAGATTTATCAAAACTATTTACATTATTTGTGAAATATGCATTATGAAATATATTTAATATTAATGAATTCATTACAAATTTTGAGCAATTAGTTTTGTATTGCAAAATTATTACTATTATTTTTTAATTAAAAATTTTTATTTTAAATATTAAGATCTATAATTTAATGGATTCAATCTGTGATCCACATTTAATCTCTAATCTTGATAATGTGCATCGGCAACAATTTTTAAATCTGGACTTCTTACTCAGCTATAATTTCAAATTATAATGTCTTTTATTATTTATAATTTAATAAGATAATCTATTTAACTCAGCTAGAAATAGATTGTGCCTCAGTTCATTGGTTCTGGGTTGGATTCTTTGTCCATAGCTTATGAGAGGAAATCAAATATAAAGAGAATAATAATAAATCTAATTTTATCTTGTATTTACAGAAATTAATTTTTATTAGTACATTTTCTTATTAAAATAATTAACCGTTTATCTTAACATTGTACCTAAAATTTTAATTCATAACTTAATCTTTAATATGCATTTATTAGTGTTTATATTTAATGTTACACTTTTTACATTGTTGAATGACTGTATTTTTTAATTTTTTTATTAGAGAATACTGTTGAAACTACTTTCTGTAAAGAAAAATGTACTGATAGTAAAAACTTGAATGCAAAAAGTGGCAATTCTAATCAATCATGGAAAGAAGTATGTACATTTATAATCTATTATAATTTAGTAAAATTAATTGTCTATATTTACTAAATTTCTAAAATGAGTTTGTTATTTCTCTTAGGATATTCATTAATAGAATTTTACTGAAGGGACAGGATATATTTTCCTTATCACATACAAAGAATACTAAGCTAATACTACAAAAAGAATCTAATACAAAACTCCAATAATCGTTTTCTATCTATTAATTCTAAAGTTATCAAATTTAATAATTACTAAATGTTATTCTTATTTAAAAATATAACATTCATAAACTAGTTTTGAGACATTTCATTCTCTAAGTTTTAAAGAATATTATAAAAAATTTTCTAAAATTCTATAAAAGTTATTTACTATCTCTATATAAATTTTATTAACAAATTTAGATAATATTTAAAATGAATATTATAACAATTTAATTAAGTGTTAAATTGGTTAGTAGTATTAAAATTTTTATTATTTATATTCAGGTTAAAAGACGTTCTAGAACTAAATCTAATTCAACAATGACTTCAGATATCATATCAACTACCTCAAAGGTTAATAACTCTGATACTGATAAATATACATCCAGTTCTTGGGATCTTGGATTCCAGTTTGATGAAGATCTTGCTGTAGTTCCATCTGGAAAGATTAATAAGTTTAATGAAAATCCTATTGGGTAAATAAAAATTAGTATGAAAAATTGTTTACAGTAACTTATATATGAAAGTGTAATTTTAAAATTTGCTTAAGCAGTTCTGATAGTGATGAATCAGATTATGGAGATATTGATGATTTTGATGATAAAGACCTTGACAATTTAATGATAATAACACAAAAAATGATAAGTCGCTCTCAAAAATGTGAAGAACGTTCTCATGACAAAACAACTCGTGTTAAAATGACTCAAGATCTGGAACATGCTATTGATTTGGGATTAAGATTATATGAAGAAGACTTATGGCATTCTAATTCTACTGTAATAATAAAATGAATTGTTGATTTTATTAAAGCATTACCCTGATAATTAATTATCAATGACTATAATTTCCAGAGTCAACCTTCTTATAAAACTGTAAATGTAGTTACTCAAGAGGAATTTGAAAAACTTATACCAAAAGCCCCCAAAAAAGTGAATCAAGTTCCTCCACCACCACCTCCTTCTCTTAGTGTTGATAACTTAACAGAAGTTATGGAAAACACTGATTCAAAGGTTAGAAAAAATGATATGTATGAATACTGCAATTTTTTTAGTGTAAATCAATTGCAAAAGAGTACATTATGATCAAAGAACAATTTTTAATAATAAATTATGCTTATAACTGTAATGTATAATTTTGAAGTGTTGAGTAATTAATAGCTATTAGAAACTAAAATAGTCGTCAATGTAGAATAATATTTTTGGGGTTATCAAATATAATCAATAATTTAATATTTTTTAATAATATATTATTTAAATAAATTGATTCAAAAAAAAAAACTAAGTAATTATGGAATATTATTAAATGTTCTTATCTATTTTAGGAAAACAAAATCAATAGCCAAAATAAATCTGATGCAGGAACTCAAACAGCTAAAGTGAAATTTGTCATTAGTAATCAAAATCGCCGACACTTTTATGGAGATATTGATGAATCATCAGGACATCGTAAACGAAGTCGTTTCATTATGGACAGAGAACATCATGTTGGATGGGTATTAGATTCTAGAGCACATTCAAGACATCGTACTACATCATTTAGGTAGTATTATAAGACTTGTATTGTAATTAATAAAAACAATGTATTAAATATAAAATAAAAGGATTTGGATACTGCTTGTCACTATAACTGAACATTTTTAATTATCTTTAGTAATAGTAATTTAGGAGCAAGTCCAATTGAGGGACATTTATCTAGTACACCACAATCTCTTCCAACATTTCACCACCCTTCTCATGCATTACTTATGGAAAATAATTTTACTCAACAAGCTTACCACAAATATCATTCGAGATGTCTAAAAGGTAAAATATTAATTTTAATGTATTAAAATATCACTAAATATTTGTCATAAATTATACAATAAAAATTATATTTTATGTTTAGAGAGATCAAGACTTGGACCTGGATTATCTCAAGAAATGAACACTTTATATAGATTCTGGTCATTTTTCTTACGTGATAACTTTAATAAAAATATGTACAAAGAATTTCAGTCAATGGCTGTGGAAGATGCTAGTAGTGGGTTTAGGTTTGTATTTTATATTTTTCAAAAATATTAATNACAACACGTGGTAAGAGTTCCCACTCCAGTTCCGGCGCATTGCAGTCACCTGTCATTGTTTATTTTGATTAGCCAGTGAATGGGTCCCGGTCCCCATTAATTCGGATAATTGGAGTTCTACTGTATCTATTTTTTTAGATTTTCTCTTTAAGTCAATTTAGTTTCAGATATATAATGGAAAATCATTTTTTTAATTTGATTAATTAATTATTTAATTTAATATATATACAATATTTTAAAGTTTTTTAATTTATGTAGGTATGGTCTAGAATGTTTGTTCAGATATTACAGTTATGGCTTGGAAAAAAAATTCCGCCCAGAATTATATAAAGACTTTCAAAGTGAAACTATAAAAGATTATGAAAATGGTAAGTAAAGGTTATGAATAAAATTGTATTATTTTTTAAATTATTTTTCTTGTTATGATACCCTTAAACTGGTACTGTTTTTAAATTTAAGTTATTTTATCCTTTGTCTAAAGTTTCTTTTTAAATATTGAAATTTTAATTTAAAAAAAAGCTCTGAAAATTATTAATTTACTGGATTGTATAATAATAACTATTATAAACTAAATTTAAATTTAAAAAAAGCAATGTACTCATATTTGACTATCATACAAGGTGTGTTGAGAAAATAACAGAAATTTTCGTTTTTTGAAAAAAATATATATTTATTTATATACATTAATGTTGTCGCCTTCAAAAAAGTCCTCATTAGATATGCACCTGTGTCAACGCTTCTTCCAATCCTCGAAACACTTTTAAACTCGATCTTTGAGATAGCTTTCAGCTCAATCAGCGTTGTGCTTTACTGTCATCTATGCTTGCAAAACGACGGTCCTTTAAGTTGCTCCTTGTTGTTGTCTCCAAACTTGTTGAATTTTGGAACAAATTTTGCTGCTATGCATTTCATACCCAAAACATTCTAAAGTGTTTTAAATGGTATGAGTCAATCAATATTCCAACATCATCTGCAACTTCCTGATTGTGATTTGGCAATCGTTCATAAACATTTCTTTTACTTTTTCCACGTTTTCATTGGTTGTTGATGTGCTGAGACATCTTGGGCGTTCTTTTTCTTCAACATTGTCATCACGACCATCTTGGAAACACTTTTACCACTCGTCAACCCTTCTTTTACTCTTGCTAGACACGCCATAAATCTTTGTTAACATTTCATACACTTTATTTAATTTTGCTTAGTGATTATATCCTAATCACTACTGCTTACAAAGAGTATTTTAGCTAATTAAAAATCAATATCTAAAACTTAAAAAAAATATGTCCAAATTTTGATAATACCCTTTAATCATTATTTTATTATTTTTAGGTCACCTTTATGGTTTAGAAAAGTTTTGGGCCTTCCTTGAATATTACAAATACAGCAAAACTTTACAGGTAGACTCAAAACTAAAACAGTATCTAGGCAAATTTAAAACTTTGGATGATTTCCGCAAAGCAGAAGAGGTAAAATTCAAAAAAGGAAATCTTTATGCTTAATACAGTAGTACAGCTAATATTTATTGCTGCGCTACCAAAAATTTAGAAAACTATTTGTTTTTTAAGGGGTGAATTAGTTTTCATTAATTAGCACCCCTTATATTTTATTCTAATTGCATCAATATACATTTTTTTTTACTTACTATTCCTATACTTTAGATTATGCATATTTTTGGATAGAAATTGGTTAGTTTTATATAGTTAATATTTTAATATAATTCTTATAACTAAGTTTTTTATTAAACTTAATAAAGTAAAAATATAGTTTTATAAAAATTTGTTTAAAAAAAATGTTGAAGTTAAAGGTAATTATTAAATAAATAATTTTTTATAGTGTTTATTTCAAAAGACCTTTAAAATTATAAATTATTATCAAGAAATTAATTATTAAGAGATGAGTAAAATCTTTTGAAATAAACATCTAATAAAAAGATAGTTTCTTTATAAATAATAAATAAAATATTTAAAAATATATATATATAAGTATAAAAATATAAAATAAAAGTAATTTACACTTAATAAGTCATTAATTTAATATATTTTCTATTATTAGCAATTGCCCAAGGGTGAAGGTTATTTAAATGCATCTATGAGAAAAATGGCCCGTATGAAACGACAGCGTAGTTACTCTGAAAATTCAACTTTAGATAGGTTGAAAATGGTTTCAGAATTAAACCCAAAAATCTCAAATATCACTCCTGCTGTTAATAATGACTATAACTGGCGAAAAAATACAGCAACACCAAGAAGAAGATATTTATCAGTTGGTAAGAAAAAAATGATTTCTATCTCATAACCTTTAATATTTTTAATATCTTTAAATAATTGTATTACATTAAAATAATTATATACAAATATTAAAATAATATGACATTTAGTTAGATTTAATTTAATTCAAGGAGTCATCTGATTATCTATTTGATAATTGACATATTTTAATATTTTTAAACAATTTAGCAATAGTTCTTCATTTTTTTTTTTTTCAATACTTTAAAAAAAATAAGTACAAGTTTTAAGGGTAGTACATGTAGATTTTGTATTTCGTTTATCAGTTAGTTAAATATAATTTTAGATGTTCTTACACTATCTGGTTCTCTCAACAGATTCTTAAGTAATAGAATTGAAGGAATTGTATTTAAATCAAGTAAATATCTTAAATTTTGCAAGTCTAATGCAATAATTAAGTATCTCCACATTTTTTATTTTCTCTTTCTCAAAATATTAAAAAATTTACCACACTCTATAGTAGGCAGCAACACTTACTCAGGAAATTCTATATTATTCATAATTATGAGATTCTAGCACAGCCATATTATATTTATATCAACCATTATTTTATTGACTTTCAATTAATATGTTGAAGATTTCTGATTATATTACTAAATAATAATGTAACAATATTTTCTATATTCAATTACAATTGTTTTATAAAAAAAATATAAGCCTAATAACAAAACTTAACTATATCTATAGTATAATTAAATTAAAAGTATATATTAAATGTGAACCAATAACCTATGATACTGTGGCTTTTATTTATGTTGTTAGTTAATAAAATTATGCTTTTAATAATTTGCTATCATAAAATCATCTTATTAGTGGCTGTTCAACAATATTTGTATACACAACATGTGTATCCATCATCCTAAGATTTTAATTACAAAAATTAAAAATTGTATGTATTAAGTAATATTGAAGTTACAGTTATGTTTTTTGTTAAAAATGTTTTTCTATAAGTTTACAAAATAATCCACTATTAAATGTTAAACGTCTATTCATTTTCATAATGGCCTTTGCAAGCATGCATCTATCAAATTTTCTCATCAAACTTGGAATTACTCTAATGTTATATTAATATATATATATATATATATATATATATATTTTTTTTTAAATCAAGTATATAAAATTTAAGATTTTAATCCTTCAGAAATTAAGATTATAATCCATGTTTATTGTTAATAGGTGATAAATCAGGAGATATAAAAGGAACTAAAAGTCAATCTAAAGTAACTTTCGAACTTAATATTAAAGGCTCATCAACCATTCAAGAAAGCTCAGAATCCCCTAAAAAATGTAATGCGACTATTGAAACTTTTTAAACTTAAGTTTTATTATTAGATATTTTTAAAAAATATTAATAATAAAACATGAAATTTATTATGATACAAAACATATTTTTAAAACTTAAATTGTAGATGTTATTTATTATGACAAAGGACATAGGTCTATTTTATTTAAAAAGTTTATTTTGTCTTGATGAATAATTTTATTAACATACTGATGACCACTTGGTTTTGTTATATATATTTTTTTATATAGTGTTCAAATTTATCATAAAACTTAATTTGATCATTTGTTAGCATTGATTACGTAAATTATGTTACATATTATGCAATTTTAATTTTCTTTCATTTTCTGTTTGAAATTCAGGAAAAACGATAAAGACTGAATATAATTAATTCTGCTATTTTGTCTTTACATTTATTTTCAACAAATTCTGTTTCATTGATGTATACCAATTCTTATAAAGTTTTATTACAAAACCCTAGTCACGTGGTATTATTTTAACCTATTTACTTCAGTTATAAGTGTAAGTTAAATATTTCATAGTTTTGGAAAAATTCAATATGATAACCATTTACTTAAAAATATGTTTTTTTGTTTTTATTTAACAAAATAATTCGTTTATATTAATAACAAAACTGTACATAAAAGTGTTGATTGATTCTTTTGTTAATATTTTTGATTTCATTTCTAATAATCGTATAATTAAAATTTTTTTTTTTTTTTTTTGCTATGTAGTTTTGTTTTTGGGATTGGGATTAGATATCTTGTATTTATTTTATTGTTCCAAAATTTTGATTTTAGAATTAATCTTTTAGTTTGTAATTATATAATGCCATATATTATTTTTAATGATTTTTTTGTTAATAAATTGTCACTTAAGTCTTGACACACTGCTCACACAGGGTTTTCCCTTTATTGATATTATATAATTTTATGTATAAATTAAATGTAGTAAGTATTTTTATTACATTATTTAAGTTAATTTTAATTATTACTACAAAAATAAGTGACAAAATAGGAAAAATTGGTTGTTTAATTAAAATGGCTATTTTTGTGCTTACAGTCTAATAACTCATTTATATTAGAATTATATTGAAATAAAGAAATCTAATAAATATTGACTTTTAAGTATATTTTAGAAACCATTTATAAATAAGTAGCCTTTACACTTTTATTTTCCTTATACTATTTGAATTGTCCGTTATATGATATTAAAATGTTAAACCAAATTTTGATGTTGTGTTCACCTTTATTTTTATTGCTGTTTTGATATTAGTTAATACATTGATAAACTAACTGATTTCAAGTTTATTTTTCCAATTACTTATTATTTTATGTTTATGTGTATGTAAGTTAATATATTGTTATTTTCAATAAATATTTAAACAAATTTTGTGTTAAAATTGTATTTATATAATTAGTACAAGGCCTGAGCTAAATCTCCATACAGTAAATCGTGTTTTTTAGTATGAATATTTTCTAAAATAATGTGATACATAGTAAATAAAATTCAGGATAGGAAAAAAATTTATTGAAAATTGTGTATTACGTTGAAATAATTAAATACAGATATTAAAATAATATGACATTTTTTAGATTTAATTTTATCAAGGAGTCTTTCGATTATCTATTTGATACTTCACATTTGAATATTATTGAACAATTTAGTCACAGATCTTCAATTTTTAGCTTTCATTTGAAGCTGAGAAGGTATTAATTTTACTATGATTCTTTTTTTTTGTGTCGCCAGCACTCGCCGAACCACCGATTTCTTTCAACTATATGTCAAAAGATCACAAATCGTATCTAGTTGAAGATATTGCCCTTAAAGATAGACAAAATTTCCCTCGTTCCCTGTAAATAGGTCAAATCCACCAAAAAATTGAAATTTTAAAATCAGTAAATGTTTACATTTTTTTCTTAAAACTGTCATAACTTTTTCAAAAATAAAAAATCAAACTATTTTTTTTATTCTATATATTTTTTTTGAAATCGAAATCCTTTATCTACCACTTATAAAGGGGCATTCAAAATAGCAACTTTTTCAACTTAATTTTTAAAAATATTCCGAAACATATGTTAAATTAATGCTTATGTTAGACACTATGAATTAAAAAAAAAAATTGTCCCGAAGACTTATCTTCTATGTAAGAGTGGCTGCATAGTTAAAAGCATACTATTTTTGTGTTAAAAATTTCGATTATATATATTCGACTTTAAATTGTTATACATTTTTGAAAAATATATGTATCAACATATAATTTTTATTAGTTATTTCTGTTGCAACATTTAAAAAATCAGCCAAATGTGTAAACATCGTATTCATACAAACTTTATTTATCTACGTAATAACTTAATCAAATAAATAATTCAACATTGCAGCTAAACCAGCTTACAAGTATATTATATAATAATCATTAGTCTATGATTAAACAATATGATTGACCCGTTAACATAAATTTCAATCTTGTTAAATAGTGTTAAAACTACTTTTAACTTCTCAGAGTTATTTTATTTGTTTTGAAATAATTATCATCAGAAAATAGTTGGAAAACATGTTTTAGTATAGGTTTATTAATGGTATAAATCTACATAAAATATTGTACAGATAAAAATGTTAAATATTGATGTATACATATGTATTTATAGATCTATCAAAATTACTACAATATATATTAGTAATATATATATTATATATTTAAATTATCGTGCTAGTATTTTTATGAGAATGGTCGGAAAAATATTTTTCTGAAGTAGCCAGAATATGATGCTAATATTCTCTCAAAAAGATAAAAATATTTTTTTCATTCAATACTTATATAGTAAATTTACAAGCAAGCCCTTCAATTGTTATTTAGATTAATTAAATAATCATAATTTATTGAACATTTTAAATTTAAATTTTCACGGATTTTCATATCCGTTCAAAAGCTTAATTTTCTTCAAAACTCTACCGCTCATTTATAATAAAAATTCATTATTATAAATAGTTAACTAATAGCCGAGCAATGTGAAGCAGACGAGATTACAAAATTAAAACAAGCGGCATATTATCAAACCTTAAATCTCTTAAAATATAAATTATATTATAACACCAGTAAATTTTTATTTGAATTTGTAGAAACATAGACAATATTATCATTCAATCTAGCATATGTAAATACTCTAAAGTAATATTAAAACTTAGTTTTATTTCTCCTTATTTATTTTTTGTCAATTTCTTTTCTATATTATAAACTCAGATTGCAAATTTATTGATCACTTTTAATACTCCTTTTTTTTTTTGGTAGTTCACTTCAAACAATCATTTACTAATACTTAAAATATTAACCGTGAAAATTGCCCTTCGATTATTATACAGAGTAATTTTATGCTGTGAACTACTAAATAAATCAAAAAATAATATTAATATCAAGAATTTTTTTTCATTTCTTTTAGATTTTTTTTTTTTTAATCCATGTTTTCAATTAAATTTTTTAAACAATTATCTTATAGAGGTAGCTAATTTTTTTTTTAATGCGAACGTGTATAATTAACTAGCTTATTTATTAGATAATGATTTAATTAAGTTAATGTCTAGTTGATAAATTAATAAGATTACTACCCACTCTTTATTTTGTATGGATAGTAAAATCGCTTCCATTTTGAATAAGAAAGTCTATATTTAGGATTGTTACGTTTTAAGCATACAGAGTTTAAAACACCAAAAATTTCAAAATTTACTTTGGTCTAATAAAAAATTTTAAACAGTTTAATTATGTTTTAAACTAAGTTTTTTAACAACCCTAGCTATATCGACACATTGTCAGTTTCTGAACGTAATTTGATGAGCGTCTTGAAAAAATAAAATTTATTTTCACCTAACAAACCTTTTCACATTATCCAATATGAAATGTGTCTGAATGGCGGATATATGGCGAACGATGCCTACCGCAAATTTTGTTTTAAAATAGGTTATTATTCTAACTATAAAGTGATAGCTAAGTAACCGGAAGTTTTAATAACAATGTATTTTTTGCAGCTGAATAACAAGCTTCTAAAAACAATGCAAAACTTGTTCGGAGACCGCTATAAAAAAATGTATTCAATAAGACCATTATTACACAAACTATTATTGTTATTATTATTATTAGAACAAAAACATTCTTTTACTTTCATAGAAATTTTCAACTAACGATTTTTACTATATTATAATTTATGAAGATAATTCTTGTTTTAAATGAAATTTTTGCTAAAATAAATGTAAATTTGAGTTTATATTTGATTAGTTAATAGATTAAACTTTATAAAATAATAAATTTATATTAAATTATTACATTTATTTATCTATTACAAATGTATTTATATAATTAAGTGAAAATTTTGCGAATTAAGTAGATTTGCGCAAAAATCTCATTAGAACATACAAATTCAATGTTAACGATTTACGTCTTTTAATTCTAGTTAGAATTATGGAGACATTGTTTCATCCATAGAAATCCAATTATCATTTTTCAATTTTATCAAAATCAATGGAGATTAATACCTTCTGTCGTGGTTATCTTTAGCGTAATAAACTTTTGTGGCTGTACAAAATTTCAATATGACATCAGACAGTAGATATAAATGTCATGATTGTTTAGTTAAAAGTATTCCATTATAATTTACAAAAGGGCTGATAATAGACTTTTGTTTACTAGTGAATAATATCACTATATGTATACTACATGTAAATTATAATCGAAGCGTTTTGTAATATTGATTTGCAGTTACTATCTGATATAACACTATACTTTAACTAGTTTAAATGTAAACGTATTTACAATTTATTAAAATATAAAATTTCTATAAGATCAACGAATTAATTAATTAGTTTCGAAACAACATTTTTTTTTTGAGACGTGAGTTTGATTTTAATTTAACATGAACACTAATTTGGGACGAATAGTTACATAAATTTCAAAAAATAAAATTGAATGCTTACTATTTAATTAATGTGCCTTCCCATCAATCTATAGAGTAGCCGGAAAAATTTTAGTCTAATGCCAATGAATGAGTGTTATGATGTATTGAATTTTTTTACATTAATTCAAAGAGAAATTACAACCAAAAAATAATTTTCAATTCAATTGTAAAAAACTAAAAACTATATTTGACTTATTTTTTTCTAGTGGATGTTTTATGATAACGTGCAAGAGAGACAAATCTTCATTGGGCTCATTGCCTTTCTTTAAGTAAATACAGTATAAAAGAGAATGTCAAGTTAAACAAAACAAATAAAATATTCAAATTATCAGACCCTTTAAATTTAACTTTTACTTACTAGCCGAGTGGTACGCATTCACATTTAAACTTAGTTAAAATATCGTGATGGGATTTGTTAGTATTTGTACCAGTGGCGCAACTTGAGGAAAAGTTGGCTAGAGAGACTCGGAAGTCAAAGGGCATACTGAAGTTGATGTGTTTTTTAACATATATATTTATTGATAACTTTCCTAGTAAATTTTTATTTTTTTTGAAATCATAAAATTGAAAATTTGTAAATTTTAAAGTTCTATCATTAGAAAACGAGTCAGATTATTGACGAAGCGCTCCATTTATCATATCCTTCATTCAGTAGACTGTGTACTTGCTATTAAGTCCCAGTTCACTGTATAAATATATTTATAGTGGTGAACTGGGACTTGACATAAGCCTCAAAAATGTCACATTACAACAGCCTACTGATTATACAAAATTTTCTTTAATACTTTAATAGCTTTTAATTTACTCATATTTGACTAAAAAAATATATAGCACAATGCTACTTAACGTTCATACTTCTTAGAAATTTCGAAAATAATATAAGTGTATCGAGAAAACTATCGGTTTACTGGTGGATCAATTATAATACCGATGACGAAATCTGACACTTAAGTTGGGTTGGCGTTGTTTATCTGAGGAAGCAGGGGTTATTAAGTAAGGGTTGAAGTTAAAAAACCTACTGTATAATTAATATAAGTATGTATTTATTTTATTTATTAATTCATCATAATGTTGTATTGTTTCTCTTTTGAAATCAGCTAAGTTAATTTTTGCCATCAAATGAATTTATAATCCCTTCAACTAGGATTTCCTTAAAACAAAAAGTAAAAGGAAGATGAAAATTTTTTTATATTATTTTTTCCAACTTCAATTTTATAGGTAATCGCACATTTTGAAAAACCGATTGAAATTACAACATTTTTGTTAGTAGTGGATGATACCTACTTTCCAAGTCTCTCTCTCTAAGAACTGCCCTGTCGTCCAACTATCTTATAAGAGGAGGAATAATCTATTAGACAAATAACAATTTAATCAATCTCTTGAGTAACGAGTAACGGTTCTTAAAAAAAAGTATCTATACAAACATTTCAGAATCGTGTCTAATGTTCTTTATAACGCGCAATATGATATCTCTTGCGAAATCATCCTGCTATAGTATTTAACAGAAGTCATAGAACGATTAAATTACCACTAAATGTTATGAGAACATAATGGTGACCTATCTCATACTATTATTTAGTAATAGAATAATATACCACTTGAATAGCGTTCTATCAAGGTCGTTTTTTTCTTTATTGGCCAACCTCAGAGAATAAATCTAGGTTAAATCATGCGTCTTTAATCATATGCGACGTTATAATTACATACCTGAAAACTCGATGTTATCGATCGTTGTATTGAGAATTTCATAAATTATTCAATAAGGTATGGTCCGTGAAGTATGCTTTATACTTGTTATTATAGCGTGTATTAATAGTCCTACTCTGTGTAACATCCTAATCCAGAGTTTAATTTCATAATAATCAATGTTTGTGTAAACACCAAGAAGGCTGTGCCAAAAATTGATTGGGGATATCTTCTTGACGTACCTGGTGATGAACAGAAAGGTTATTTGACAAGCTACAAGTCAGTTACAACAGTTGGAAAGCAATATCATCGTCGGTAGACAGATCAGAGGAGTATAATGACAAATAGAAGTGAACACTATGTACTCTTGCAAGAAACCGTAATAATGGACAATTAAAATCATGTAACTTAAGCCAACGAATCTACTAAGTCATCGTTTATTTATGACTATTTACTATTTACTAACACAGAAATACAATCTTATTCAGCATCTTTAAGTACAAATTGTTCATTTTAATAAAAAAATTTCATGACACTGGTATTTTTATGAAGATGAGACGAATATATCAGTTACTATTAATAACTAATATTTTTAATGATGGTATGAAGTCATTACGTATACGAATATATCATTAAGTTTTAAGTGACTACACTTGTATCATAACATAAATATTATAGATTTAAGGTATAATTTTGATAAAAATAAATTCTTATTTCAAAAAGTCGATACATAAATAATAAAATTTATGAAATCAATTTTTAATCAGGTACAAGGTTTTACTTTTTATCTTAAACCTCCAGGTATAAATGAAAAAAGTAATTGTAGCTTTATACATATGAATAATTACAATATCACAAATGTTTAACTCGAATGAATGTATAATATTGTAATGTACGAGTATTATAGACAAAGTTGTATTATTAATTATAAAATATTATTCCTTAAATTTGACTTTAGGTTTCTAGAGCATTCTATTATCCATATTATTATATATTTGATTTTTTTAAACTTTTATCAAGAAACCCCCTAAATATGTTCCTATACCCTAAAAATGACAGAATACTTGATCAAGTAAACTTAGCGTAAAGCCTTCAAAGTTTTTTATTTTATTGTGAAAACTAAAGATGCATATTGCTATGGGTATATAATGTGGATTCAGCACATTTTTAAAGTGGATTATAGTAATTTTTTTGATATTACGATTTAATTCTTCTATATAATAATACTTATACTACAAATATTGTTTGCTAATATTGATTGTTAAGTAGAGATTTTATTATTATGCAATACATTTTATAATTAATATTGTTACCAGTGATAATTTTTTATAGTAGTTATTAATATTCAAGCATCATTATAAAAATTTTTTTTTTTGTTACGCATTTGTATCATAGAAGATACTGTGTAAGGTAAGATGAGGTAATTGATTTCTTATCTCATATTAGAATGTTGAGAGAAGCTAAGGCCAGACAGACTGTATCTTAGGGATTAGATTGATAACACAACATTTTAGATACACAAATTTATACTTGGCAATCCACAAGTGATGCCCCTGTATTAATAGTTACCAAGAATTTTATTTTATGATAATTTTAAACTATTTTAAGTTACATAATAATAAGAATTGAACACTTGTGGCTATTGTTTAAAATTAAAATTAAATTAAAAACATTAATTTAAATATATTACTAATTTTACATTTCATAAGTCACAATATGACTCCATGAATATTATTTCTGGGGGACGTGATTTTAATGTAACGTTGGATGAAAGTGACATTACATTATTTAATAACGTCAAAAGATACTTACTTCAGCTTTACTTTTTAGTTTTTAAAATTTACGGTATGATCAGACACGTATCCACGATTTTATATTTTAAGTCAAGCACCCTATATTGCGGTCAAACAGGTTTTTTTGTCAACGAACTACAAAATACACATTAATAGCATATCAAATGTTGAATGCATGTGCATCTCTTAGTGGTGGTTCTAAATTCTCGTGTAATTCAAAAATAATACTTAACTATTTAACAGTTTATAATTATTTAAGTAAAATAAATCTAGTTCATTTTTTTGTGTAACCTACGTGCCCTGTTAAAGACGACAGCACAGTGAAATAAGAGTTAAGTTGCTCCCTTATCTAATAGTTTGTTTTGAAATTAATTAAATATTTTTTATCATGTAAAGGTAAAATAGTGTTTACCTAGCCTTTGATGAATTTATATTAATGTCCATTTTTAACTAAAATGTTTATCGACGATTAAAAAATTTATTTTCTCTAGATCTTAAAAAAACAGCATTCGAATACACGTAGAATTAATTGAATTATTTATATTTATTTTAAATAAGGTCAAAACTATTATTATTGTTATTACTATTTCAAAACCAAATTTCATTGGAGAATAAACTAGTTTGGTTTATCGTAAATTTTACATTTATTATTATATTTTTATTTACTACTTAACAAGAAGCTTTTAAGTTTTGTAGTTATTTCCATGAAAACACAGCTCTCTTCATTAATTATATGCATTGAGGACATTTTCCTTACATTCGCTTGGGAGCGCTGCATAGTTCCCTTTCAAATAAACATTCCATGAACCGGTACCACCTCCAATATCTAATGCCCATAGCTACTGCCTGCCCGCACCTGGAAATCGACCATCAGTTATTCATCAATCGTTAATCTGTTATGTTTTAAGTTTTCGTGTTCGTATCAATTTTTATAGACAAAATTACACAGAACTATTATAATGTACCGACGGGAGTATTTAGTAATTAAGTAAAATGCTTTTATTAGTTTGTGGTATTTTAACGTATAAATTTTAGTTTGATTTTAATATTTAAGCATGAAGAAAGATATAAAAAAAAGTTCGTATTACGTTTGGTTTTTAGGATCTCAAGAATGCAAAAGTATAAGGGATGTTGACAGTATAATCCCAATAATTTCAACATTGTCAGAAAGAGAAAAGAAGGCACCTCCATCAAAATTTACTCTCCAAGTAAGTCACAGAGGATTGAAAATAGTTCATAGTGCTTCCGCTCAGACTCCTTTACCCGGAGGTAAAATTTCAAAAAGTGATTTAGTGAAGCATTTAATACCCGATCATGCAATCACTTGTGTTCATCGAAACCAAGACCTAGTGGCTGTGATTTTGCTTCTTTACAACCCAGTTACCAAATGGCCTGTGCATGTACATGTATATAGATGTGATTCAGTTGAGACCGCTACTCTCCTCTCTGGACAATTACAAACGCTAATTAATCGTCCAGAAAATATAAAAAAACTCGATGAAATCGAATCGAGACTATCTATACCCGAACCTCCTCCACTAAGTAAATATGAACGTAAAAGAGAATCTCCTTTATCGTCGTCATCTGAAAGTGGAATACCAATCACCAATCACGTGACGACTCTATACGATTCTCTCGCAGCTGAACTTAAGAAAAAATTGGATACTGGAAAATCTGGCGCGCCTATATTGTTACCTCCTAGAGATTATGATACTGTTCATAGGCATAGAGGAAATCTTACTGGAATAGATCTTAGACGTTGCATGAGCTCTAATATTGTGGGTGTTAATGCCATAAAAAAAGATACCAGACGGAGTACTCCAAAAATGGGATCGAGTGGTGATTCCAGCGGAATTGGATCTGATCATGCTCCGAGTCCAGAACAGTATGAACAAGAAAATACTTATGTTGATAATAATTCATCATCAGGTAAGATTTTATCAAAAAGATATTCTTAATAAAATTTCAAATATTTAAAGAAAATTTTATATTATACTTAATGTAACATTACATCATACAGATAAATCCCTTTTTTTAATATAATCTAATAAAATACACAAAACTAAGTTTGGTTCAATTTTATTTAAAGATAAAATAAATAAATATTTTTCATTTTACAGCGAGTCTACTACATTTAACTACTAAGCATAGATGTAAATGGGGGGGGTATGATTTAATTACTGAGGACTCTCAAACATTTAAAGGAATTATATTTATGGTTATATAAAAATATTTTTCAAATGGGGAGATTACATTTAGCACCATCAATTTTTTTTATACTACTTACGCCTTTGTTACTAATCATAATTATAAATATACAATAAACTTTTTGATGCTTTTTTCAAAATCCATTTTTGTCATAGATATTGGTGAAATAATAACTGTATAACGTATTTTAAAATTGTCCCTCACTTCGGGAAAGTTTTAGAATACCTAAAACTAAGCACTTATTAAATATATATTATTAAAATAACCATACAAATATTAATTTACAATAATTAATTACTCAATTTTTTTTATTTACTTTGTAGTTATGAGATTAAATTTGATTGTGTTGTGTGAGGAAGATAAAATTTTCTTAATAAAATCCTGATTAAGTCGTTGCTCAAAAAATTTTCATCTGGACTAATTTTACTAAATTGTGTATAATTTTTTGTTATTAAAGGTTTTTACTTGTTTCAATAAAACTTGAAAGATGTAGTAAAATTCGATACATAGTTTAATTCTCTCTCTCGACACATATTTTAACCGTGAAGACTATGTCATTCTTAAGTATACTATCTTTTAAGATACAATAGATATATGTACAGAAGGACGTCTAAAGAGCCTCTCTCAAGGTTGACAATGTATTGCTACTTGTATTGTATATCGACACATTGACTTTAGCAATTGTGTCTGGTTCCCGTATGTGAACTATTCTGATTAACCTATTTACTTATTATCTTACGCGATAATATGTTTGAAATACTTGAAATATCTCTAGTTTAGTTCACTTTTTGTTTATAAACAATATTTCTAAACATTTTGACATAAATAAAATAGATGAATAAAAACTATTAATTGTTATTGTAGAAAAAAATGAGACCCTTCGAATTATGTCGAAGCAATAGAATTAGTTATGGGAAATTTTACATGAAATTTGTGTTTTTCCTCAAAATTTATTGTGCAATTGAGAAAACTAAGCTATTGCATTTTTCATTTGTTTTATAAAAGCACAATCGTAAATTTGCTTCTTATTTGTAAAATCATCATACTATAGTAGGGAACATATTGGAACAGACTTATAGTATGTCTTAATTTTAAATTAGTTTTAATAAGTTTTTCAATTTTAATATATTTCATTACTAAGGTGAGCTTCAAACTTTTGGAAGGATAGCTTAGTTCTTATACTGTTATACAACATGGGCAAATTTTAAACTGTTTAATTGATTTCATTGATTCTTTTATCCATAAAAAAACTTTTCCTTATTATAATGACGTTATATTTGTTATTTAAATAGCTTAATTAATAACTGAGACATAACTCATAGTAATAATTGCCTTACGACATAAAACGTAACTGGTTAATTAAATTAAAATCCGTTATCAGAAAATAATTTGAAAAAAAAAATATTCCGTTAGTATTTTGTCATTAAAAATATCAAGTTAAAATGTCGCATAGGTACTAGTTGAAGTTATAAATCTAAAGACCGTATAATGAGGATCCACTCCGAGATTTTTAAAACAAAGCCTCTAAGGAGCGCTTCTGTTATGTGGGTCACGTGACTGTCGTCCTGGTTCAAGTCACCCAACCTGATTAAGTATATACGCAATAACATATAAAATATTAGCTGAATAATATAATGGCTACGTAGAGCAACTTTCTAATGAAGTTTAATTGACTATTAAAAAGTGCCCAGTAAAACAATTTAACTTACCTTGCAATTTTACATTTACAATAACAATATTCAACAGTTGTTTTAAAGTATTTATTTTTTAAAGTATTTTGGAGTTTATTAAATTTAGAAATAACTAATATCTAAAATTAGAATGTATATTGTATTTTTTAAATCTGTATTTCATATATTAAATAAGTTTTTCAAAAAAAAAAAAATAATAAACAATTTATGTTAAGTTTTTTTAAAATATTTTTATAAAATTCGTTTTTAAATTAAGAAACATAATTAGCTTATTATTTTGATTTTCTAATTATATTTATAGTTAATATTATTGTTTAAACATCAACATCAAGTTTTTTAATTTTTTGTATTTTAAATAAATTGTTTGCATGTTATTATTAATTTAATACGTTATTTTATGAAAAACTTAAGTTTCAAAGTTAAGAATAAATTGATATAAATAAAATAAAGATTACTTTTCACAATTTTTTTAATTGGTAGCCATTATTCACAAGGTATTACTCAATAAAAAGTGAAAATATCAAATTTTAACTAAAAGTCATCTTAAAAAAACTTTCAATAAGAACGTTTATAGTTTATAGACGTATTATAACTTCACTTATTATAAAAGTAAATTTAAACTTGATATGAAAATAATTATCAAAAGTTAGCAACGTTATTTTTTCTTTTTTCATATGTAAAATATCCATTAAATAGACTGATAATTTTTCAAATAATTCAATGGATAATTTTAAAATAATAAAAATGATTTAGCTTTAATTAAAACATAAGTTTACTAAATTTATGTGAACATCAATTTAGTAAACTTACGTTGTAATATACATTACAATATTTCACTTTTCAATAAATAACACGTATAATTAAAATTTGTTATCTTTAAAATTTAATGAAAAATTAATTTTACACGGCAAGTTTTAAAACTTACATTGTTACTTATTTTCAATCGACTTTCATAAATAAAGAAATTCTCATCTTGCCTAATATCTTTCTTCATATTGATGATTCACAATAACTTGCATTAAGTTATTACATTTCAATTAACTAAATTATTTTTTCCTTGGAATCCGTTAAGAATATTTGGTAATTATGGACTTTGAAATTAAGTTTCAGTCAGTGTATATCCGATGTACATATGTACAATAGAACTTATCTGTAAAGTTAATGCATTGTTACTTAAAAGTTATATTTAATAAATAAATTCAAATCACTTGAAGGGGAACGTTTAGTACAATAAATTATCATAGATTTTTAACAACACATCCATTCACTCGGCATTATCTTTTTTGTTCACTTAAACATTAAATGAATATATTTAGGTGCAACTTATGTACATTTAGTGAGTTTTTTATGAGTAAATCTTAATCTAGATCATTTTATGCGTTAAGAATACACTGCAAGTAAATAATCTATCTCGTACTTGATTTTTTCTAATTGAAATTTACATTAAAATGATATAATAAACGATACATAATTAAATGAAGAATAATCAAGAATATATAAATTCACAAACATGTCTATTAATATTTGTTTTTATACAATAATGGCAACGATTAAGATCAGTTGTATTCCACTTAAAACAATGTTGCTTGATTATTGTTATTGTAAAAATTAATAAAGAAATGTTCATACTATTATTGTTATCTAGATTATTCTATTATGAAGTATATATACTATCTATTTAGTGTGTTGTTATTTTCATAAAAACATCGTTGAAACAGCAATAGAAAACGTTTTCATCTGCCATTATGCTGATACATCCGCTTAACCCAACAATATATAAATACAATAAAATACAAGATGAATATTTGACTCGTAATTATCGTGTCCAATGGGTATGTGGGTCGTCACTGGGCGTACCGCTTAAGTCAGTCAGTTTCAAATAGGATAATATTCGTATTATTGTATTTTTATGATTTGAAGGTTCAACTTTCTTATTAGAATAATATTAAATTCATTTCCATGGATCAAATAAAAACTTCACGAAAAAAAGAATCACATCTGTTGAATTCAAGTACAAGAGGCATGACAGCCCAAAAATTTAATATTTTATCTTAAACTCAGAAACAGGAAGCAAAGGTTTTTTATATATTTTTTTTGGTCAGCATTTCACCTTTTATCATTTCTTAATTTATTATTATTTATTACCATTTTTCCTTTAAATAATAAAAGTCATTTGTTATACATGTGATCACAGGTATTTCATATTGTTGACACGGTAGTTATGTGATAGGAATGTACGGAGCATAATACATGTACAAAATTTTCCATTGAAAATTGTAAGAATAAAAGAAAATCGAGCTAAACAGTATTCCCAATTCTGTGGTGCTCGAGTAATGATGCTTAAATACAAAATTGTGTAAATGAGGTTAAATACATCATAATATTTAAACGATATACTCTTTTTTTGTGGTATAAAGAGCTATGAAATAATTAATTTTAATCTTAAGTTCTTTTATACGAACGTATCTTTTACGGCACAGAATTATGAACTTTAAAATATAAGTTTTTTAAAGTACATCTATCATATCAAATAGTATCAACTATATTTTAACATACGTAACTTGGTCTGCGTCGTTATCTAACGGTGTGAATAGTGATCTTGTGATTTAGTTAAATTTACTTCATGTTAAACTGTTAATTTATATTCTAATGCGGAGAATAAAAAGTTCTTCCGTGAGATAATTAAAATTACGCAAGGGTTCTTCAGGCTTTTTTCTTTTACCCATTAGATTTTATTACACTATTTTTATTGATAATAGTACTAGGAATGTTTACGGCAATTTTCACTGTGTTGTTGATAATTCAACCAAAACAAGTATATTTAATAAGTATTTTTAATTCAGATTGTAATGGTTATCTTGGCAGATTTTACACCTTACGCATAACTTAAAATCTTGTTCATTCGTCTATGACCGAATTTCTTTAAATTAGCACTTATAAAGGTATACCAATTATATTGGCCTTGAACGTTCATTCACTCTCGGATTCTTCCTATTAATTTAGTAAAACTGCTGATGCATTCCATTCAGC